AATACCAGAGCAAAAGATGTTAAGTTTATTATGGAATGCCCACCAAGTAGCTAGTTTTTGAAAAAACCTTGTTTCTCAATTTGAGCTAACCATTTCAGGCTAGTGCTTCAAACCGAAGTTACTGGCATCATGCTAAGATAGATGTGTTGACTGAAGTATGAGATTCACACTTTTGTAAATGAAAAGCAATGTGATTAGGCAAAGTTTTTCTAAGTGAAAGCAAGTTTACTGAGAATTAAAGAAACAAAAGAATGGCTACTCCATATAGCAGAGTTTTTTTGTTTTTTAAGTGTAGGCAAATATTTAGTGAAGATGATATTTCAATAAGAAAACTGGCGCTTGGGACATGCTTCCACTAAATTTGAGACATCTTAGAACAAAGTTTTATTTTTGAGGCATTATTTTTATGGGACTGAAGTCTTGGAACTATTTGATCTAGTTACTGTATGTTGTCAACTGTGTTAACTCATTGAAAACAACATTGTTATTAAAGGTATTCACAAGAAAAATTCAGAGATACTGTTGCATCTCCTTTCTCTGTTTCAAACTGTTTTCTCCTAAGCACCCAAGGCTCTGTGATGTCTCAAACATTTAATCATTAATTTTAAAAGAGAAGCTTATTATGGAATTAGAAAAAAACTATTTAAAAATTCATATGGATCCAATAAGAGCTCATATAGCCAAAAGAATATTAAGCAAAAAGAACAAAGCTGGAGGCATCATGCTATGCCACTTAAAACTATACTATAAGGCTACAGTAAACAAAACAGCATGATACTGGTACAAAAACAGGCACATAGACCAATGGAACAGAATAGAGAACTCACAAAAAAAGACTGCACATCTACAACCATTTGATCTTCAACAAACCTGACAAAACAAGCAATGGGGAAAGGATTCCCTATCTAGTAAATGGTGATGGGAGAACTGGCTAACCATATGCAGAAAACTGAAACTGGACCCCTTCCTTACACTTTACACAAAAATTAACTCAATATAGATTAAAGACTTAAATGTAAAACGCAAAACTATAAAAAACCCTGAAAGAAAATCTAGGCAATACCACTCAGGACACAGGCATGGGCAAAGATTTTATGAAGAAATCGCCAAAAGCATCTGGCACAAAAGCAAAAATGGGCAAGTGGGATCTAATTAAACAAAAGAGCTTCTGCACAGAAAAAGAAACTGTCATCAGAGCAGACACCCTACAGAATGGGAGAAAATTTTTGCAATCTATCTATCTTACAAAGTTCTAATATTCAGAATCTACAAAGGACTTAAGCAAATTTACATGAAAAAAACTTCATTAAAAAGTGGACGAAGGACATGAAGAGACATTTCACAAAATAAGACATACATGTGGCCAAAAAAATATGAAAAAAACTCAACATCACTGATTACAGAAATGCAAATCAAAACCACAAATGAGATACTATCTAATGCCAGTCAGAATGGCAATTATTTAAAAGTAAATAAACACCAGATGTGGCGAGGTTGTGGAGGAATAGGAAGGCTTTTACACTGTTGGTGGAAATGTAAATTGGTTCAACCATTGTGGAAGACAATTTGGTGATTCCTCAGAGATTTAGAACCAGAAATACCATTTTACCCAGCAATCCCATTACAGGGTATATAACCAAAGGAGAATAAACCATTCTATTATAAAGATACATGCATGTGTATGTTCATTGCAGCACTATTCACAATAGCAAAGACATGGAATCAACCCAAATGCCCATCAATGATGGACTGCATAAAAAAAATATGGTATGTATATACCATGGAATATTTTTTTTTTTTTTTTTTTGAGACGGAGTCTGGCTCTGTCACCCAGGCTGGAGTGTAGTGGCCGGATCTCTGCTCACCGCAAGCTCCGCCTCCCGGGTTTACGCCATTCTCCTGCCTCAGCCTCCGGAGTAGCTGGGACTACAGGCGCCCGCCACCTCGCCCGGCTAGTTTTTTTTGTACTTTTTTAGTAGAGACGGGGTTTCACCGTGTTAGCCAGGATGGTCTCGATCTCCTGACCTCGTGATCCGCCCGTCTCGGCCTCCCAAAGTGCTGGGATTACAGGCTTGAGCCACCGCGCCCGGCCTATACCATGGAATATTATGCAGTCATGAAAAGGAATTAGATCAAGTCCTTTGCAGGGGTATGGATGAAGCCAAAAGCCATTATCCTCAGCAAACTAACACAGGAACAGAAAGCCAAACACCACATGTTCTCACTTATAAGTGGGAGCTGAGCAATGAGAACACATGGACACAGGGAGAGGAACATCACACACTGGGGCCTGCTGGGGGAGGGCAGTGGTAGGAGGAGCATTAGGAAAAATAGCTAATGCATGCCAGGATTAATACATATGTAATGGGTTGATAGGTGCAGCAAACCAGCATAGCACACATTTAGCTATGTAACAAGCCTGCACATCCTGCACAGGTACCCTGGAACTTAAATTAAATTAAATTAAATTAAATTACAAGACAAGCTAAAGGCATTAACAAAAATAATTAGATTAAAAAAAAACTTTGATTTTCAAAATCCTGAAACAAGTGTTTTAATTTTGCTTTAAACATATATTCAAATCCTTTAATACTGTTCCCTTCCAGAGGTGCTGCTTAATTTCCTCTCTTGAGTGTGGCTTGGAGTTAATGATGCACTTCTGATATGGTCTGGCTCTGTGTTCCCACCCAATTCTCATCTTGAATTGTCATGCAAATTGTAATCCCTGTGTATTGGGGGAGAGGCCTCATGGGAGATGATTGGATCATGGGTATGGTACCTCCATGCTGTTCTTATGAGACTGAGAGATTTCTCCTAAGATCTGATGGTTTCATGAAGGGCTTTTCCCCATTTCGATCTGCATTCCTCTCTCCTGCCACCACGTGAAGGACGTGTTTGCTTCCACTTCTGCCATGGCTGTAAGTTTCATGGGGCAGCCTCCTCAGTCATGCAGAACTGTGAGTCAATTAAACCCCTTTCCTTTATAAATTACCCAGTCTCAGGTATTTCTTTATAGCAGTGTGAGAACGAACAAATACAACTTCAAACTGATAGAGTAATGCTGACATAATAGTTTGTGACTCTGGGTGTAGAACATAAAACTCACTGCAGGCTCCCCCTTCTCTCTCAAGGTCTCTGGGATCATGAGCTCTGGGGGAAGCCACCTGCTGTGCAATAAGCAGCCCTGAGGCCTGAGTCAAGGTCCATGTGGCTGAGAACTGAGGCCTTCTGGGAACAGACAGCAAGGAACTAGGCCTTTTCCACAGCCATGTGACTGATTCATGTTTCATTGAATCCTCAGCCCCAGTGAAGTCCTCAGATGATGCAGGCCTAGGCTGACAACTGGACTGCAACCTTGTGAGAGGCCTTGAGCCAGAAGCACTCAGGGAAACCTCTCCTGGATCCCTGATCATCGGAAACTGTGGGAGATGATGAATATTTGCTGTTTTGAGCTGCTAAGTTTTACATAATTTGTTATGCAATAGTAAATAACTAACGCATTTTCACAAAAGAGAATCTATTATTACATGTTAGTTTGCATTTGCTCTAAATTTATCATTATTATTAATATTATTGTTATTTATACAGGGTCTCACTCTGTCACCCAGGCTGGAGTGGAATGGCATGATCACCATGCACTGCTGTGTTGACCTCCTGGGCTCAAGGGACCCTCTGATCTCAGCGTCCTGAGTAACTGGGACTACAGGCATGAAGCACCTCGCCTGGCTAATTTTCTAAATTTTTTTGTAGAGATAGGGGTTTCTCCATGTTGCCCAGGCTGATCTTCAACTTCTGGAGTCAACAAATTTGCCTTCCTCTGCCTTCCACGGTGCTAGAATCACAGGCGTGAGCTACCACACCTGGCCTAAATTAATTATAAGACATTAAACATGTAACTTAGTTTTAAAAGGTAAGAAGAATGTCCATGGGTGAAGAGGATGCATTTTATTACCATTCACAATGATCACTTTACTTGAACTTCAATTTCCAACTGTGTCCCAATTAAACACGAAAGGAAGATCCAATCCTTGCTGGGCTGATTCTGTGATGGCCTCAACAACCAGCTCCTGGTCATTCACCTTCCTCCAGTTATTCAACCAACTCTAATGTAGGTGCTGCTGTGAAGGGATTTAGCAGATATAATTAAGGGCCTCAATTAGTTGACTTTAGACTGGATTTATCCTGCTTGGACTGTCTTAATCAGGTGAGTCCTTGAAAGGACTGGGTTATTCCTGAGCGTCGAGAAACACAGTGTGAGAGGGATTCAGCGTGAGGGGTTTCCTTCACCGTGGGCTTTGAAAATGAAGAGGCTGTGTAGGAAAGAACGCTGTTGAGCACCAGGTATTGAGCGCAGCCCTCTCTGTTCTCTACAGTGACAGCCAGCAAGGAACAGGAACCTCAGTCTTACAACTGCCAGAAACTGCATTCCGCCACCTCTGTATAAGCCTGAAGGAGGATTCAAAATGAAAACACAGCTTTTGGAAGCCCAGAACAGAGATAAATGGGTGTTGTTTTGCCGGTCGTGGTAGTGCATGAATGAATGGATGAATTGATATGCACACTAGTTACATAAAATAAAATCTTTCTGAACTTTTTCCGTATTTTACATTTTATAATTTTCTGTGATGCAATTTAATACACTCATATTTCATTCATTCAGTCAACAAAAATTACTTTAATCCCTACGATGAACTAGGTGTACCCTCATATGCTCACGTGCCTGACATTCCAGAAGCTTCACAAGACCAAGGTGGAGCCACTGGAATGTTTTAGGTGGAGAAATGACACACTGTGACTCACAGGAGCAGGACCACTGTGGAGAGAACAGTCACGCAGCAGGTCATGGGACAGTGCTAGAGCCACAATTTGGGAGTGACAGGGTGGTGGGGACTAAGGGGAGAGGAGCGCCTGAGGGATGAGTGGGATGGAGGGAAGGGCTGGAGAAGCAGGAGGTGAGGAAATGGAGCAGAGGGAAAGAATTCGAAAGGAGCAGAATTCTTAGGTTTAAACACTTGTTTAATAGATTTTTAATACATCCATCTACAGAGCCTCGCTGGGTGTTCTTTGCAGTTGACCTTTAATACCTTATGTGGGTCTGCCCGAAAACTAATTGTTTTTACGTTAATCAGATTTTAAAAATACTAAGTGTTCCTATAAAATATACACAACACTTAGATGTGGATACTTCCTAAAAACAGGCAGTGCATGAGCACTGGTGAGGGGCACTGTGACTGCATTGAGTGCTTGCCACTGTGAGGTGAATAAAGTCTGTACTGGCTCCTGGTTGCCACATAAAATAACACAGTGGTTGTTTTGTATTAGGAGATGTCCTGGACTCACAAAGAAACGCAGGGCTATGGAATGAAGGTAAATATAAAATACTACAAGCGGGAGTCACAGATACATTGTCTGTGAAAGTGAAACTTAGGAGCTTTGTGAGTCCTGCTGTAATGCTTTTAGACACATTTATATGTCAAGGGACCAAAGTCACATTTTCTACCGATTAGATCCTGATCATTCAGGGATTACCAAGATTCTGCTACTCACTGTAGTTAACAAACAAAAAGCAAACTGGTGTCCGTTCTATCTCATGCACTCAGGCGCAACTTTTCCAGATTTAAAGAGAAAGAAAAAAGAAAAGAAAAAAAAGTCCTGTCTCTACACCTCCATTCCCAGGGCAAGCTCAATCTCTGGCACCAAGCTCTCTGGGGTGATTTTTCTTCTAGAAGAGTCCACTGGGACAGGTAAGGAGTAGGAGGCAGGGAGTCCAGTTCTGGGACGGGGAGTCCGTGATGAAAAGTGAAGAGAGACGGACGGGGCCCATGCCGTGTGTTTCTCCCTGGTTTCTCAGACAGTTCCTGGGCCAAGACTCAGGGAGACATTGATACAGAGCGCTTGGCACAGGAGGAGCGGGGTCAGGGCGAAGTCCCAGAGCCCCAGGCATGGCTCTCAGAATCTCAGGCTCAGAAAGCGGTGTGTAGATTGGGGAGACCCAGCCTTGGGGATTCCCCATCTCCGAAGGGTTTCTCTCTCCCTCTCTCAACCTGCGTCTGGTCCTTCTTCCTGGATACTCACCGGGCGGCCCCAGTTCTCACTCCCATTGAGTGTCAGGTTTCTAGAGAAGTCCATCAATGTAGCCACGGTCCGGTTCTAAAGTTCCCACGCACCCACCAGGACTCCGATTCTCCCCAGTCGCCAAGGATGGGGTCATGGCGCCCCGGACCCTCCTGCTGCTGCTCTTGGGAGCCCTGGCCCTGACCCCGACTTGTGCGGGTGAGTGCGGGGTCGGGAGGGAAACAGCCTCTGTGGGGAGTAGCTAGAGGTCCGCCCGGCGGGGGCGCAGGAACCCGGTTGCGGTGCCGGGAGGAGGGTCGGGAGGGTCTCAGCCCCTCCTCGCCCCAAGGCTTCCACTCCTTGAGGTATTTCCACACCGCCACGTCCCGGCCCGGCCGCGGGATGCCCCCGCTTTATCTCCATGGGTTAAGTGGACGACACGCAGTTCGTGCGGTTCGACAGCGACGCCGCGAGTCCTAGGATGGAGCCGCGGGCGCCGTGGATGGAGCAGGAGGGGCCGGAATATTGGGAGAAGAAGACAGGGACCGCCAAGACCAACGCACAGTTTTACCGAATGAACCTGCGGACCCTGAGCGGCTACTAGAACCAGAGCGAGGCCTGTGAGTGACACCGGCCGGGGGCGCAGGTCACTACCCCTGCACATCCCCCACGGACAGTCCGGGTCTCCCCGAGTCTTCGGGTTCGAGATCCACCCCGAGGCCGCGGGACCCGGAGACCCTTGACCGGGGAGCAGCCTAGGAGCCGTTACCCGGTTTCATTTTCAGTTTAGGCCAAAATCCCCGCAGGTTGGTCGGGGCGGGGGCGGGGCTCGGTGGGCAGGGCTGACCGCGGGCGCAGGGCCAGGGTCTCACACCATCTAGAGGATGCCTGGCTGCGACAAGGGGTCCGACGGGCGCCTCCTCCGGGAGTATCACCAGCTTTCCTACGACGGCAGGGATTACATCGCCCTGAACCAGGACCTGTGCTCCTTGACCGCCGCAGACAGGGCAGCTCAGATCACCCAGCTCAAGTGGGAAGCTGCCGGCGAGGCGGAGGTTCATCGTCACAGGGGTAGGTACCTATTCGATGTGATATGTTTTTCCTCTCTACTCTCAGACCCTCAGCCAGTATCACTATTGGCATTCCTGATCCACTGGCTCACAATTTTAGCACATTATCTGCCCGCGGGACACACCTTAGAGGGAAGGGGATGAAGCGTGGGCCATGAGCAAGGCATCCCCTGGTCATATCACCACCTCACCTCCCAGGGCCTGCCAGCCACACTGAGTCATAGACAGGTCTCTACAGACACACTTTAGTACCAGCTTGGATGAAACCCTCTGAGGAATGGGGGCCATCTTTCAGGATGTGCTGCACATATTAAATCAAAGACGTCTCTATGGTGCTGTTTACAGAAGGAAGAGTACGTGGGTCCAAAAACCAAGAAGTTGAAACAGGTGTGGCTCCATGTCTCATCTCTTCTATTCACCCTCAGGGTGATTTTGCACTTCTCATCTCCAATATCGGGGCTCTGCAGGGGAAGAGGTCCTGGTTTCCCAAAGGGGGCACCCTGGCAAGGAGACAAATGGGAATCCATGGAACTACACATTATGGGTGCCCCCAGGGATGTTTGACTAGTAAGTGTCCAGACACAAGCAGGTGAGAAGAGGAGGAGGCAGGGCTGCTATCACACAAGGAAGGCAGAAGTGTGTGTGGAAATAAGAGATCCACTTGGAGGCCTTATGGTTCCCCTTGTCCTGTTGTAAGTGTGAGCAGAATCATCCAGCAACGCAGCCTGAGAGGGTTTGATATTCAAGAGCCCAGAACCCTCAGGAAGGAAGGATTGAGTGATACACCTAGATAATGTCCCAAGGCTCCGCTCCTGTGCTCTGACATCCTCAGAAGGGTTAGTGCAGAAGCCCTGCTTCCCATGGGCTGTTCCCAGCCAATGACCGGTCACAGCAGGCGCACTAAGACAGGCCATTACTGGGAGACACGGGACTCCTCTGATGGCCAACTGTGGCTGGAGGACTCCTCCATGGCCTTGCTCAACCCTCCTTAGATTGTCTGTGCTCTAGGATGTGTCGAACAAACCTTCTCTCCTTCGTCCAGCACTTGGGGTCACACTTGCATTGTGGTGTGCTGCCTTTTCCAGGGATTTCTGGCTCGCTTCGCATATTCCCTTACAGGTGTGTCCTCTCATAAAATGCCACAGACTTGAAGCTCATCTTGGCATCTGCTCCTTGAAGAACTTGGACTAAAAATTATTTCCATCTGCACATCAATAACTCTTACTTATTTCAACTTGTAAAATCCTTCTCTTTGTCCAACTTCTGCCACCCCCGTAGAATCTATTTTACTTGTGTTTGTAGTATCTCTTTGTGTTAATGGATATTTGTTCTATTAAGCTACTAAATTTTGAGGTAGTTTGTGACACAGCACTTGATAACTATTAAGGCTTTCTTTTTTTTTCTTGAGATGGAGTCTCACTCTGTCGCTCAGGCTGGAGTTCAGTGGCTCAATCTCGGCTCACTGCAAGCTCCGCCTCCCGGGTTCACGCCATTCTCCTGCCTCCTGAGTAGCTGGGACTACAGGTGCCTGCCACCACGCCCGGCTAATTTTTTGTATTTTTAGTAGAGACAGAGTTTCACCATGTTAGCCAGGATGGTCTCGATCTCCTGACCGCGTGATCCGCCCATCTCGGCCTCCCAAAGTGCTGGGATTACAGGCGTGAGCCACCGCGCCTGGCCAAGGCTTTCTTAAGTTTCCATTATTCCATGGATATTATCTACACATCTTTTAATACCTTGCATTTTAATAACAGCCATATTTGCCGTTTCCAACCATTTCCTCCTATTCTTTTTTGAACATTTTTATTTTGTCTTTCTGTCCTTCCTTCCTTTTTTCCTCCTTTCCTCCCTCAGAGCTTTCTCCCTCCATTTTTTTCATAAAACCTAAGTGTTTAGGCTAAAAGGAAGCATCACTTGAACCTAATGCTAAAAGTATAATGCCATAATTTATAATATAAAAGTAAAGAAAAGGAAGTTATTAATTGAATATGAAGAAAATGTCTAGGGTGATTCTGCAGCCAAGACAGTGGCTTTTAATATTTAATCTCCTCCTTCAACTGAATGTTTTCAGAACACACGAGCAACATGAGCTCTTTCCCATTCTTGGTACAAGCACTTGAGAAATCAAATTAGCCTTATCTAGTCTGATTAATATCCATACACCATGCAATCCCACCATCTGCCTCCTGATCATACACTCTGGGGACATTCTTGGCTATGTGTCCAGGAGACGTGTAAAATGGAATGTCTTATAAAACTACAATAATACAGACAGTGTGACAGTGAGAGACACAGAGATCAATGAACAGAAGTGAGAATCTAGAAAGACATTCTTACATTTTTTGTCAATTGATCATCAATAAAGTTGCATAGGTAATACGAAGTGACACTTATCACCACATAAAATATAAGCTCGTCTAAAACACCAAAAGCAACGGCAACAAAAGCCAAAATTGACAAATGGGATTTAATTAAACTAAAGAGCTTCTGCACAGCAAAAGAAACTACCATCAGAGTAAGCAGGCACCTACAGAATGGGAGAAAATTTTTGCCATCTACTCATCTGACAAAGGGCTAATATCCAGAACCTACAAAGAACTCAAACAAATTTACAAGAAAAAAACAACCCCATCAAAAAGGGGCTGGGCAAAGGATATGAACAGACACTTCTCAAAAGAAGACATTCATACAGCCAACAGACCCATGAAAAAATGCTCATCATCACTAGCCATCAGAGAAATGCAAATCAAAACCACAATGACATACCATCTCACACTAATTAGAATGGCAATCATTAAAAAGTCAGGAAACAACAGGTGCTGGAAAGGATGTGGAGAAACAGGAACACTTTTATGCTGTTGGTGGGACTGTAAACTAGTTCAACCATTGTGGAAGATAGTGTGGTGATTCCTCAAGGATCTAGAACTAACAGTACCATTTGACCCAGCCATCCCATTACTGCATATAATACCCAAAGGATTATAAATCATGCTGCTATAAAGACACATGCACATGTATGTTTATTGCGGTACTATTCACAATAGCAAAGAGTTGGAATCAACCCAAATGTCCATCAGTGACAGACTGGATTAAGAATATGTGGCACATATACACCATGGAATACTATGCAGCCATGAAAAAGGATGAGTTCGTGTCTTTTGTAGGGACATGGATGCAGCTGGAAACCATCATTCTCAGCAAACTATTGCAAGAACAGAAAACCAAACACCGCATGTCCTCACTCATAAGTGGGAACTGAACAATGAGATCACTTGAACACAGGAAGGGGAACATCACACACCAGGGCCTATTGTGGGGAGGGGGGAGAGGGAAGGGATAGCATTAGGAGATATACCTAATGTAAATGACGAGTTAATGGGTGCAGCACACCAACATGGCACATGTATACATAGGTAACAAACCTGCACGTTGTGCACATGTACCCTAGAACTTAAAGCATAATAAAAAAAGAAAAAATATATAAGCTCAAACAAATTAGAGACCTAAACAGCTAAAATTTATGAGTTAAAACTATCAAATTTCTGAAAGAAAATATAGGAGAAAATTTTTGTGACATTGGGTAGTCAGGCAAAAGATTCTTAGATAAAATACCAAAAACATGATCTACAAATGAAAAAAGAGAGAGAGAGAAATTGGGCTTAGTTAAAATTTAAAACTTAAGTGCTTCAAAAGACATTATTGAGAAAATGAGAAGACAAGCCATAGATTGAGGGAAAAATTTTCACAGTTTATCACAAATTACATTTGTGATGAAGAACATGTATCCAGAATATAAGACAAGTTCCTAAACTCAATGTACGAAGAAGAGCAACTCAACCAAAAATGAGCAAATCATACAAATATACACAACTGACTTCTACAAAAGCACAAAAGCAATTCAATGAAGGAAGGAGCGCTTTCCCAACGAATGGTGCTGGAACAACTAGACAACCACAGTGGAAAAAAATAACCTGAGCCCAAACTTCATGCTTTATACAAAAAATAACTCAAAATGAGTCACAAGCTTTAATGTAAAACACAGAGTTAAAATGGCAAACATTGAGCCAGGTGTGGTATCACAGGCCTGTACTCTCAGCTACTCGGGAGGCTGAGGTAGGAGGATCACTTGAGTCCAGGAGTTCAAGGCCAGCCTAGGCAAGAATTTTTTTTTTTTCTAAAATAAACAATAAGTTTAAAACTTGAAATTACAAACCTTTTAAGAAAAAGTCATCCAAACTAAGACTGGACAGAGTTCTTAGACTTAACACCAAGAGTATGTTCCATCAAAAAAAAAGTTAACAAATTGGATCTTATCAACACTAAAAACTGTTGCTCTGTGAGAGACCTGTGAAGAACTAAAAAGACAAGCTACAGAACGAGAGAAGATATTTACAGACAACATATTCTGTAAAGACTGTATTCAGAATATATGGAGAAATTAAAAAACCCAACAGTAAAAATGAAATCCAAATACACAATAGGCAATAAGCAAGACATGAACAGATATTTCACTGAAGAGGATAAACACCAGGCTAATAAGCAGATGAAAATGCAGTCAAAATGATTATCCAGTAGGAAAATACAAATTAAATCCACAGTGATGAGAATGGCTGCAATACAAAATAAAAGTAACAACAGATGCTGGCAAGGATGCAGAGAAACTGGGTCACTCTTATATTGCTGGTAGGAATGTTTT